CGGGCTCAGGCAATCCACTCACCTCAGCCTCCCAAAGGCGCGGGATTACAGGCTGAGCCACCAAGCCTGGCTTCACTTCATTTTCAAGAAAAGGTCTGCCAAATATCCAAGTTGAATAACAGACTTTGTCAGTAATTCTCTCAAGTGAAAAAGGTGGTTGATGGAAAGGTGGTTGCTTCAACTCACAGTGCAGACATTCATTCATACAAATGCTTTTCCCCAGACGTCGTCGCACTTCTGTCTGCAGTGGGAGTGTTGTGTGGGCACTTTTCATGTCATCACACGGCTTTTTTTTTTTTTTTTTGAGTTGGAGTCTCACTCTGTCGCCCAGACTGGAGTGCAGTGATCGCTCCCGGCCACCGCAGCCTCGACCTGCTGGGCTCTGGCCATCTTTCTGCCTCAGCCTTCCAAGGAGCTGGAACTACAGGCGCACGCTACCATGCCTGGCTCATTTTTGATTTATTGTAGAGATGAGGTCTCACCAAGTTGCCCAGGCGGGTTTCGAACCCGCGGGCTCAGGCAGTCCACTCACCTCGGCCTCCCAAGGTGCGGGATTATAGGCCGAGCCACTGAGCCCAGCTTCACACGGCGTATTAAAAAGACGTGCACTCAAAGGTTACTACGATGTACGGAAAGCAATATTTTTTCTGTTTCATCAAGGACATCCATAAGTGAAACTGACTTTCTGTGTCACTGCTTGCGAGTGCTGGCAAAGAATAAGGTGGCTTCGGGTGCAGTTTGATGCTGCTGCTTTGACCTATGTATGTTGAGATGCCAGTGGGTTTACTCACTACTGTTGCACCTGGAGTGGAAATGTCAACAACATCGAAAAGACAAATGAAAATATGATTATGAAAAGTTTTGATGCTATGACCTCCTTAAAGAGTCTTGGCAGCCCTCAGACCACACTTTGCCTATAGAATAGTGGTAATCAACAAGGGTACCTGCATATTGACCATTTATGAATTGTGAATTGTAACTCATACTTTAAAAATAAATTTTAAAAAGTGTAGTGGTAATACAAACATTTTAAGAATGGACTATTTTGGGGGGTAACCAAATGGAAATTTAGCATGCTTGCATTTTTGGTTCTAGGATTCTTATAATTTGTGTGTGTGTGTGTGTGTGTGTGTGTGTGTGTATGTAGGATTCATTGAGGACAGAAAAACTCCCTGAGTGGAGGGGATCCGAGGGGGTTGCCTGGATTCTTAGAACGTTAACAGTGGAAAATTTTACTTAAAAATTAAAATCAAATAATGTAAATTGAGAACCAAAGAAGAATAAAATGAAAGTTCAGTATTAGAAATAACTGTTAAATCCATAAAGTATTATATCTAAAATTGAACTTTACGCCTGAGTGCATGGGCCTCATTTTTACTTAGGAAATGCATTGTGTTTTATGTAGATATTGTTTTAAAAATCTCTGATTGTATTACTGCTCTGTGATCATTGAATCTTCTTTAATCTGAAGAAATGCTTTCTTGCTTTTTTATCTGCATTGTTTTCTTGCATTATTTTTGGAATAAACAACAGCTTTTTATTTTTATGAAGACTGGATGAGGGCAGTTTTTCTAGTGGTTTGTATTAGGTGTATGATCAGACTAGTGATTAGGTAGAATTTGGCCACATTGACCTATTCTCACATTGGCCAAATGAGTGGGTGCCACAGGTGAGTTAATATGTGACAATGGTTAGAAATGTTCACTGACATGGTGTAGTTCAGAGGTAGGAAACTGAAGCATGCACATAAAACAGTGGTTTGGGTGTTTCTGTTTTTGTTGGCTTGACCACAATTGTAGTACATGAAGTGTATGTATAATTCATATACTTAACAGCTATGATCTTATCCAAACTCAACCATATGTTGTTGTAGAAGTGAAAGTAGATTGAATCAATGCCTATAATTAATTCCTGTCAATTTGTGTTGACAAGTAAAGATGTCCAGACTTCTACGAATATGAAGTAGAATTCAATCCTAACAAAAAAGAAAGAAAAGAGTTCTTAACAGCTCTTAAATGAAGAGCCAGAGCCTAGTTTTTAGTTTGGTTGGGATATGTGATAAATCATTTAGATCTAAAATCTAGGCTATAAAAAGCTTTCAGATGTTAAGTTTATTTCTCACAGAGGACAGAAAAGTGTAATATGTCTGATGCAATGATGTGTGGCGATGATGTTGGTGATTCCATCTTTATCTCTCCTTCCCAGCTCAAAAGCTGAATGTTTGGCACTTAAGTGCACATTTCTCCATGTGTTTAAGTGTACAAAACCATCAAAAAAGATATGTTTGTGTGTAAGTAAAATCTTTATATGATAAGTTCCTTCTTTTTCAGCCAGAGCAATAGGGAACTGAGATGGTCTGATGCGCTTAATATCTAATTAACTCAGAATCACACTTTATTGCTTTTTAAAGAATAAGAAAATAAATGTGATCTTTACATTAACATTACAATAAATATGATTTTCTTTGGTTCTGAAAGCTGTTTGGAAACTTAAGAGCACATCAGGGCTATTACTTACATACTTACTACCAGAAAAAAATTATTACATTTTCTAGTAACTTGATTGTACATAGATGAAATACATTATATTTGAATTGATATGGGTAACTATGTCTTTTTATTTTCATCTAGCCCACTAAATGTTGAAATTTTTTTAATATCAAGATCTATTCTGTTCAATTCCTACACACTTAGCTTCCTAGAATAACTTTGAAAGAAGTTTAATTTTAGCTTTCCTTTACAAAGTATGAATCATTACTAAGTGAAATTATTATTTTTGATGAAAACAGATTCAAAGAAATGAAGTGTCACAGAGCCTAGAGAAAATGGAGACTAAAATCCTAAGTGTTGTTCTTTCTTCAGGCTTTTAGGACGTGGTAGCGTCGGGGGTTCATTTTCTATAGCATAAACGAGGCGAGATGGTAGCTGTGCTTTGCAAATGATGAGTATTCACCAAGCAAAGCCAACAGAGAGGTTTCAGAGCTCTCGAGGGCAAGAATGGGCAGCAGGACCAAAGGTTGCACATAACTGCCAAATTCAATTTGACTGGTAGTTTTATAACTGCCCTTACCATCCCCACATTTCTTTCCATAATTACTAACCTTAAAAAAAAAAAAAAAAAAAAAGTCTTCTCTCTGTTGATATTTTTTTCCCCTGCCTTGGATCAAGCGGAAGTACTAATGAGTAATGAAATAGCCCGAGGCAGACAACAGGAAACAATGAGTTTGATTAATCAATCTGTTCTGGATAATCAAGAGGCTATAATGTTATCTGTGATAAATCTAATGGTAGGCGGGTTTTTCATTAAAGCAAGACATAATATTATCTAACCAAAAGAGTGTATGCATTCTAATTGACTTTGGAATCAGTGTCTCTTGGAAAAGAAATTTGTTGCCACTTTCCACTGACCTTCGTAAATTACCTTCCAATTGTCAAAACTTCCAACTAAGCTGAAATAGAAAATGAACATTTGCCCCCTTAAAACTCTTTCCTCTTTCAGGGCCAATGCACCACATGTTTTTTTTCGTCGTCTCTCTACCTCCTTACTTCCCCTTGGTGGTGGCCTTCTCTCAGATGCTGTGTCTTTCATGTTTCCTTATACTCAAATAAGACTTAGTTCTGTCTGTCGGTTTTACTTACTGCTTTGTGCTGACTCCCACAGCTGCACACTTAGGCCTGATGCCTCACCCGGGCTCTGTGCCTTCCTTCTTCCTCTTTTTTCAGTCCTTACAGTCCCAATACCCTGATCTTTACTCTTCAGTGGTGCCTCTCAAATGTCTCTCTCCCACTTGATTTCTGTAGCAGGCACTCAAGGTGAGTCCTCGCCATCTAGCTAAAAGTCACCTTCCGCATCTAGCCCTCCCTCCTGCAGTGGTCTCCTGATTGGTGTTCCTGCATCTCCTCCTCTCTGCTTGCAGCCTGTTCATCACACTGAGGCCACAGTATTTTCAAAAGATAAATCAGGCTAGGCCAAACTTTTCCTTGAAACCAAAGGAGAAACCAGTTTCAGCCTCCTGTCCCGGACTTGTCCCGGCCCCGCCCTGGCCCTTTGACCTGTCTTCTGCCTCTGCCCGGCTATTGTGTTCTGCTCTGGACTGTTGCAGTAGACTGCCAGCCAGTCTTTTTGTCTGAATGCTCTTTGTGAAAATTTATTTTTTCTATTATATCAGGTTCATACTTCTCAATCTAGTTTTAAAGAAGATACCTAGTATTTCTTGCCTTCTGCTGTTACTATACCAGTACTTAGCTTTAATGATGTCCGTTTCTTCACTGTTCTGTTCCTCCCTTTCATTTCTGCCTCCTCTCCCCACGTATGTCTTTATGCCCATCTCAGTATCTTAATACCATGTGCTTCTTCACGTCCATGCCTCTTTCCTCATGGCGTTCTCACCACCTGAATGAAGTGCACTGTATCGATTCATTTCAATGAAGTTAAAATGGACTTTGGTTTTCCCCGTTCTGGAATGTAGCTTTAAAACCTACACTGGTTTCTCTCTGTTAGATTCTTACTAGCAGAACTGTTGTTTTATGCTAATTAAGTCTTTTGCATGTTACCTGCCGCTTCTCATGTGCTTGTCAACTCTCCAGCTACTCTAAGACCCTCGAGGGTGGAATAGCTACTTATGTTTGTCTTTCAGGGGAAAGTTATTATTTGCTATAGAACTAGGCAGATAGTAACTTGATTACTAGATTGGAAACATGAATGTTAACATTTCTTCCAAGCCTTTGTTTTGGAATATTTAAGCTTTATCTCCTTTTTTTCTCTCCTAGAAAGCCATTGTTTAAACTACATTCAACTTTGTGAACCTGAAGAATTTGGACCATTCCAAGTCTTAATGCCACACCACTACTCCAGCGAATTTATGCTTCGACTGGTAACAATGACCAGAAGCCTGAAGATTTAAAATGCCAACACCAAACCTCACCTTAACAGCTCTGGTCTATATTGTTCCCGTGCATTTTAATATATTATTTTGTTTTATAACCACTTCTAAATATCCTTGGTTCTTTTTTTTTTTTTTTTTTTTAATTAAGGGGTTTTGTTTTTGTTTCCTGTTTACTTTGTGTGCAACTACCTGCTTTTTGTGACTCACTTTGATCAAATGACAGTGAACAAAGCCAGCCCAAGCTGGTAAGGTGCTGTTCACTTGAACAGGTGCTGTTGTGCAGAAAGGAAACTCTGTGACTAATTTAGATAGTAGCTTTCCTTCTTCCAGATTCCTTCCATCGAATTCTTACAGTAAATCTTTACAGAGTTTTCAAATTGCAGTAAATATACTGTTTGAGAAAATATTAATACAGATTAAAAGCGTTTCTTACATCTTGACGATTTTCTAATGTTTGAGAATTTCCCTGGGGATGTTTTTCTGTCGGACCCTTTTGACTTTCCAGCCCTGTGACTTTCTGCTGTGAGTGGAGGGTCAGAATCTCCAGGCTGGAGAATCACGAAGCCGCTCACGACCATGCACTGTGCTAGGGCTCCTGTGCAGCGCAGTGCCGGCACTTCTCAGACGCCCGCTGTCCACATTCCAGAGCAGGAGGGGCGGAAAGGAAAGGCTCTTCCCGCCCTTCCACTGAGAGATCCAGGCAGCTTAAAACCTTAGTGCTTTCTTTCTTAACATCTCCAAATTTCATTATTTTCCCTTGTTTGAACACTCGGGTAGAACACTTGCTTTGTATTAAACCATGTCTACATGTAAAACTGACCTTTTGTTACTGAGCAGGCATATTGCTTCCAGATAGTTTGATGGTTGACACAGGTTGCAGGACGCTGAGGAGAGCAGCAGAGGGCTGGGGGCTTTTGTGTTGGTTACAAGAGAAAGTTACTCCATTTAAAGCTGACACCAGGGACCTGATAGGGACTTATTAACTATATTGAAGATTTTTTCCTTTGCTTTTGACTCTATGTATAGTTATGATGCCAGATTAGATTATAGCAGCTTCAAGTTGTATTAAATGATATTTTGCTTTCTGTAATACTGTTATAAAATAAAGTTTGTTTATTCTCTAAACTTGTCACTTCTCTTTTTCTAAAGGTTTTTAAAAATAGCCCCAAGTGATATATTCCATCGGAAATGTAGTACTTCGTAGAACATAATGTTTAAAAAAATCTGTTTTCAGCTTCATTTTCTCTTTGGATGAAGCTGCCAACATCACTGATTTGAAATGGTGAAAGCTTGTAAATCCAATATCCACTGTGCCGGATTTCTTCTGCCTGGCTAAATAATCCATCCCAGCTTTTGCAAATTCTCCGAGAAAGATTTTGCTTGTTTTCTTTGTGTAGTTTTTGTTTTGTTTTCAGGAAATATTTCAGCGGCACCATCTGAGTCCTGTTCCTCTGCTTTGTGGCTGACTTTGCTTTGTGTCTGCTCTGCCCCGGTGTGTCAGATAGACCGGCCCAGTGGAGGAGCCATGCCCCAGTTTAAGTGCAGTGGCTTTCGTGAAGGTTCCACCAAGACATGTCAGATTAGGGGCTTAATTTTGTTTTAAATATTGTGCAACAAATGGCCAACAGGGTATATTCCTTTTAAAATGTTATATAGAATGTTTGTTCTCCAGTCATTTAAAGTAAGTACATTAAATACAATTTGTGCAGCTGTCATCTTTGAGATCTGTTTCCACTAAATTATCTCCCACCTTGTGAAAGGCCTTTCTCACTTTCTCTGTAATTACTACAAAAACAACTCCTCTGTGAGAAGCTCAGCAAAGCCAAGCCTTAGAAATGTTGTGGAAACAAATGTGATTCTGTAAGTTTATTTCCCATCAGAAGGTTTATATAGCATACACATTTAAATCATAGACTGATTTTCCCAGGGTATTTTGAAAACCATATTCTTCCCTGCTTCCAGTGGAAATAGTAGTGGTAGGAATAAAATTTGTCTTCACAGCTCCCATGGACTAGGAAGTGCAGTGTTTGGTTAGGGCTCCGTTTTATTCAGTTGAGATGTAAGGACAGGGTTTAGGATCTTAGAGGTGTTGAGTGCATCTGTGGGGCTTTGGCACCCACAAAGCCACTCTGAACAATATTGATAATAAACCCTCATGTGCCTATAGCAACAAAACTGTCTTATTTAAAAAAATATTTTGTGAAAACTCTCAACTCACTCTCTCTCTCCCCCCCCCCCCAAAAAATTTTTTTTGTATTTCTTACAAATTGTTTCTCAGGATGTTAAAACCTCAGGTTTTCAAAACCCCAAGTGATAGAATAGGAAAGTAGATAAGGCTTTAGAACACAGATTTGAAGAATTACAGAAGTAGAATAAAATTCCCAATCTGTTTGATGTTAATTATACGTTTGATGGTCTTTTTGAATATGTTTTCTGCTGAGTTCTGTTTGTTGCTCATATATTAGGATATATGCCATTCCCTCCATTGTGATAAACTCAGATTTTTTTTCTGATTGGCACACTTATTACAAAACCAGAAAGCAAGAATCTCATGCATGCTTTGAAAATTCTAATAATTTTGTATACACAGAAATCAGAAAATTTATTTCCAAAATGTGTTTAACATGATGAATTTTGAGAGTTATCAGAGTTATAAGCCCTGATTTCTGAGGTTGTTTACAGCGCTAAATCCAAAGCCATTAATATTATCTGCCCATCTGATTTCTGAGGTTATTTTGCCAAAGATTTTAATGAAAAGCTGTTCTTGTTGTCTAGGAGTGTGTGTCTGTCCTTGATTTTCAGTTGCTGCTAAATTATGTCTAGAAAATGCTGGAGGCTGTTACCTGGCCAGATGGACTTTTTTTAAAGGGATTGCAAATGATATTTCAGAACAGATTTCCCACCTTTTTGGCATAAGAAGCCGGTCTCATGGAAGACAATTTTCCACGGATCAGGGCAGGTAGGATGGTTTTGGGATGATTCAAGTACATAGTACTTATTGTGTACTTTGTTTCTGTTATTACATTGTAATATATAATGAAATAATTATATAGCTCATCATAAAAAGTATGGACAGAAATGCTAAATAAAATAATGGGCAGGCCATACATAGACTAAAATACATGTCGGATTCTGACTGAAAGCCTGCCACCAGATGCAGCTGTATGGTTGAAATACATCCATTCACGTGCCACTCACTGGTAGGGTTTGGATATGAGTCTGCAAGCAGTTGATGTATTACGGTCACTGTGCGGTCCAACCTCACTGCTAATGTTCATCTTTATTTGCAGCCACTCTAGCTAGCATCGCCTCCTCAGCTCTACCTCAGATCGTCAGGCATTAGATTCTCATGGGAAGCACGCAACCCAGGTCCCTCACTTGCACAGTTCACAGTAGGCTTTGTGATCCTATGAGAGTCTAATGCCGCCAATGATCTGACAGTAGATGGAGCTCAGGCTGTAACGTGAGCCGTGGGGAGCTGCTGTGAATACAGATGAAACTTTGCTCGCCCTTTGCTCATCTCCCACTGTGCGGCCAGTTCAGGCCATGGGCCAGTCCCAGTCCGTGGCCCCAAAGGTTGGGACCCCTGGCGTTAGAGCATTCCAAATTCACATTAGACCAAGTTGTTCCGCTCTCTCTTCTGTAAAATGTGGAGTACAGTACCACCTACTTTATAGCACGACTGTGCAGATTACATGACATAATGAGGTCCAGCACAGTAGCTCAGCCTGTAATCCCAGCACTTCAGAGAACATAACGTGTGCCCTTTCATGCCCAATTTGCTGTTTTATCAACTGTCTCGGTTCAGGAGGCGAAATGGTCACGAACTTGCAGTTTCTCAGCACCAAGTTGCCAAATTACCAACATGGCTAACCAGAGAGATGGCAAGATAATATTAATAGCTTCGAGTAGTTATGGAAAAATATTTATTTTTTGGTAAATGTTTACTGAATAACAAACTAGCAATGTGACAGAACCTTACAGCACCAATTAAGGTATTTTATCAGAGATCTTCAGTTGGAAAAACATCATCTCAGTTGGGAAACTCACAGATACTAGAACATGAGATTTAAGATTAGGAACTGTTGGAACAAGACTGTCAGGTGTGAGAGCGTTTCTGGCCCCTGACGAAAGGCCTTGGAGCAGGAGATGGAACTGAGTGTGGGGTAATGTCAGGGAGACTCCAGACCTCATCTAGGTGGAGGTCTTCCGTTGGCGAAACCTCATCCCAGTTGGGGAACTTGCAGATGCCAGAATATTAGAAATAATTAGTAACTGTTGGGGCAGGACTGTAGGACGTGAGAGTGTTTTTGGCCCCTAATGAAAGACCTTGGAGCATGAGATGGAACTGAGTGTAGGGTAATACCAGGAGACTGTAAGGTCTCATCTAGGTGGGGGCCTAGACAGCCTTCTCTGGCAATGACAATGAAAAGGACCAGGGCAGTCCAGGCCTGCACAAGATCTGAAATTGGACCTGAGCGCCTGTGAAGCCCAAAGACGTAACTACGTGGGGCCACTTAGCAGAGCCTCCCAGCCAGGTAAAGGATTTGACTAATTTGTCAGCAGTACCTTCAAGCAAATTATATTGACACCCTTGGGACTTTTTCCTCCATGGGTGAAGCTACCTATGTGTCTATTCCTCTCTGCATATAGAAAACATTCATGAATCTAGACTTAATTTCACGGGAGAGTCTTTACTCTCATTTGATGGCAAAAAAAAAGGAAATGGGTCTTGCTTTAAGCTACTTGGTTGTGCTTACTGCTGGAACATGTATGTTGAGAGCTCATCTGTTACGATAGCTGAGCTGGTGGACCAGCACCCACCAGAGCCCAAAATCAACCTTCAGAAGCGCTTGTTTCTGGAGGGAGATGGAGCAAGCCTATGGTGGGGCCGCAGATTTGGCTGGCAGCTGCCTGAGACGGGAATACGATGTGTCCTTTCACACCTTCTGTTCAAGAAAGCATTTTTACATCAGCTTATTTCCACCAGGGGCTAAAAAGAGATTCCTCCCAGAACGGAAAAAATATTGTTATTCCTTCCATATGGTGTGAGCACTGTTATTCTGAATTACCTCAGTCTGAAAGCCCCAGCAGATACTTCCATTGTAATCGAGTGCAATAGAATGCAGAAAGGCATGTCTTTAGTCTAATAATACATTTTGTATTTTGCAAGAAATGCAAATGAAGTCTGTCATGGAATGGGTTTTGTAAAGCATTTTGGAACCAGGCATGGTGGCTCAAGCCTATAATCCCAGCACTCTGGGAGGTGGAGGTGAGAGGACTGCCTGAGCTCAGGGATTCGAGACCAGCCTGAGCAACATGGCAAGACCTTTTCTCTACAATAAATAAAAAAATTAGCTGAGTGTGGTGGCATATGCCTGTGGTTCCAGCTACTTGAAAGACTGAGGCAGAAGTATCACCTAAGCCCAGCAGGCCGAGGCTGTGGTGGCCGTGAGTGTGTCACTGCACTCTAGCCTGGGCACAGAGTGAGATTCTGGCTCTAAAAAACCAAAAACAATTTTGAAGTGAGGTTGAGAGGAGGAAGCAGAAGCTATCCAGCACTGGTAGTACGTTCTTGCTTTGTCATCCTCACCTTCTCTATGACTGTGTCACCACCACAATTGGTGCATTTCTATAGGCGACCAAATTCATTTTTTAAAAAATTTATTATTTTCTTGAGTTGGGGGATATCTCACTCTGTCTCCCAGAGTGGGTTCAGGTGATCCTTCTGCCCCAGACTCCTGAGTAATTGGGACTACAGGCGCACACCACCATCCCTGGCTCGTTTTTTCGTAGCAATGAGGTCTGTGTTACTCAGGCTGGTCTCAGACTCTCACCCTTGAGCAGTCCTCCCACCTCAGCCTCTCAAGGCAAGTAAGTGCTGGGATTACAGGTTTAAGATACTACACCTGGTCTGATTTATAAAGTGAATCACTCTGCCTGTTAAAGTCATGTGCAGAGATTGAAATGTAACCAGCCTCACACCTAGTATGATACCGAACATCTTTGGTTAAAGTTAACTGGGAGAATGTGGAGAGCACAATAGTAACCACACTCTATCTTAATTACCATCTTTTTCAGTTATCTCTGTTGGCTCTTGAGGGCGCCCACTGAAAGAGGAGAAT